GCGAAATAAAAAATTTTTCTTGCAAATTTTAATATTAACATTTAAATTTTATTGCGCGAAAAATGTAATAGCGGTATTCATAACGGTTTGATTGACAGTTAAAAGGTGAAATGTATTTATTACGTTCATATAAAGGTATCGATGATTTGTTTAAAAAGTTTCGAGAATTCAAAATAAAGCGACTATTTTTTCATATCAATTAGAAATTTGCTGAGAATTTATTATTGTTATATTTGATATATAAAAACCAAAAGTAATGCTTAAACAATGGTAAATTTTGAAAAAAAAAGATGGGTTGTAGTTCGCTGATCTGTTAATCGAAATGACAGCTTACTTGGTTAATTTATTAAATTTCCGACTATTAAAAATTTGCCTCTGATCCACTGAGTGAGGTGCTTGAGAACATCCTAAATTAACACAAGAAACAAACACAATAAACAACGTATTTTAGGGTTAAATTAATATTGATAAAAACAAATTGGATAAGAATTGAAATAGTTCCTTAAATACCTTAATTAACAGATAATTATTATATTATGCTTATAGACTAGGAATGTGAGAAGTTGGGTCTGGTCCTGACTTGACTCCAAAAGTTGAGTCTTCTTTAAAGTTTAGTTTCAAGTCGGACTTGGGATTTTGACTTGTATCTGTATGTGCTCTAGTATGTCTAGATATAGAATTAAAAATGTGAATGCATGCAAAGTATGTATAAATGCATATTTTTCATGCTATAGTTTCAAAGAAATTAGAAAATAAATAAGTCATCTGATTATTAATTATGAATCACCCTATTACTGTACTAGATACAAGTTGAAGTCTCAAGTCTAACTTGGAACCAAACTTTAACAATGACTCAATTTTTGGAATCAAGCTAAGATAAGATCGAACTTTTTATATTCTTATTATAGACTAGTCAAATGGAATCAAATAAATGATTGAGTTTTGCTCAGCATCTCTCCCAATGCAATTGGCTAATGATTAAAACTCAAACTCTGCTATTTGCTCAGCATCTCTCCTATTAATGATTCAAACTCAAACTCTGCTATTGATTGATATAAAAATGATTATAGCTATTTCATTATCTTTTTAATCGACTACCTTATTGATTCCAAAAAAAAGCAATTATAAGTATAACGTGTTTGTAAATTTTGATGTTTTAGAAAGTTAAATTTAAAATTAAAACAATAATTGCACATGTCACTGCAGTAAATTAGGATTGACGATAATTCTAATACAAACCTCAACCATATACTATGTGTCGTTCAATGGTGAGTATATTTTGTAAAAGATTTTTTTTTTTTTTTTTTTTTTTTTTACATGGTATATCAGGCATATTTCACTAACCCAACGGATTAACTCGCAGGTTAAGCTGCAGGTTAGTATATAAGTTAACCTGCAGATTGATTTGCATACCTGTTTCTGTCCAGGTTAATACTTTCCTGATATAGTGACTCTTACTTTCAATTTATTACACACTACATGAACCTATATGAAGGCCCTTTATATGAAGTTTGTGTCATTTCATGGCATACATGTGATTTTATAGAATAACGCCTAGTATACCTGTTATTTCACTACAAGTAATGAAAGATTATTCTATTTCGATCTTTATTATTATTATTAATAAAGACTGGAATTAGCTTCTAAATTTATCAGTTACTGCTATTACTAAATCTAGCATTCTGATTAAATATATTACAAGTTTTATAATACGTAGTGGTAGCATAGAGTTTCAGTACTGCAAAAATGAATTTACCATATACATTAGTTTCGTCAATTGTTTTAGAGACACATTCAGAAATTGGTTCACTAACAGAAGATTTTAATCAACTTAAAACGTTTTATTAAAGTGAAAAAGATTATAAAATCAAAATAAAAGATGCATTTGAAACAAATACACTTGGTCTTGAAAATACCGATAATATAGACGATAATGAAGAAACGCAATATTTTGATAATCAAGTTCTAACTTCAGCACAAATTAAAAAATTTAAAAAAATATTTTTACAAAGTACTATTAAGGAAAATAATGAAGAGCAAGAAGCTAATGAAAAAATAATCACTCTTTTAGATTAGCAAGAAAAAGACACCTTTATTCATAAGCTTCGTACTACAATCTGTTGTAAAACTAGAACTTGTTTATCTAAAATTGATCATGAAGCTGCATTTACGGTTTATGACAATATTTGAAAGCTATCAAAATCTGAATACAAAATGTTTTTATTAGGAATGCTTCATGCAATGGCTCGTCTAAATAAAACATTATGTGGTAAAGAAAAACAATACTTAACTGTTAAATATACATTTGATGCAAGTGAAATTTGTGAAAAAGCATTTCAAACTATATATTCACTATCTAATAAAAAATGGGAAAATATTCATCAGAATTATTGTACAAATGGTATTAAATCTATGAAACACGCGCTTATTGGAAAAAAACCTCCTTCTGCTTTGTCATTTACAACTGTTTTAAACGTTCTTACATTTATTATTAATTATGCGAACTATTATAGATTACCATTGCCAGGTAAAGTTGTTCTATAAATTGTTGCACTGCAAAACTATGCATAGAGTATATAAAAAATATATACTTTAAGCATGGTTTTTCTGCGCAACAACTCATATACCTTTATTTATTTTAATCTATATTAGTAAATTATTTTTAATACGTAGGTTGACATTTTCGAGAAGATACCATAGCCATTACGTTTCTTCCAGCTAGTGAAAGTTATGCAGGATTACATCGTATTTATCGACAAATTTAGATGAGAACTCTGATTACAATATTAGCCATTGGTCTTTTATGTGGATTTAAAAAAAATTTGTGCCAAAAATTCGCTTTTTGTCTCCTAGAAGCGATTT